GTTCATTTATATATTTCTACACTAAATATTATCCTGTGACATACCATCTACACTATATTTGATTATTCTCTTTTTAGGCATTTATTTGCTGATTTGCCATATATTCCTCTGAGACTGCTAAAAAGCGACAATTCATTTTCATAAGCGCTACATTCTTCTTTTATTCAGGTATTGTTCTCCTGTGGTCCAACATCTAGTCTCAGAACAGAACACATTGCGTTCTAAGTGACTTATTGGTCTCTGGCACCGAAGGGGTAAAGTAGAGACCTCGTATGACTTTTGCAGTTGATCCAAAGTTTCACTGCTTATAATCAAAAAGATGTCAGGACCACATCACATAACCTCATCAGTCACCTTTTAAACATAAGCTGCAAGGGACAATTTTGGCATAAATTAAAAGGGAAGCTGGGATATGCAGTAGTGAAGAAAGTGTAACTGGAACAGATATTTTTTTCCATAAAGCTAGAAACTGCTTCATATGAAAGTATATTAATGTCTCGGAGGCACAAAACAGCCTTGGGACAGAGATTATTTTTAGACTAAAAAAATTATTGTACTTTTCATCCTTATTAAAGATGGCATTCAGTGTATAAACAAAAAGTGAAGGCTCTTAATATATTATAATAATTGAGTTTACAAATTGTCTAGTAGGAAAAGTACATACATTCTGTCTTATGGGTACACAGAGGTTGAACTATTACATTGTTACTCATACCATGTAATTAACATGTTTCAGATGTCAGCATTGACTTCAGAGTGGTGTTTGCTGCTGAAAGAAGCCATACAGTATATGTTATGGTATCTGTTATGGGAGTTGGTGTAAGGAATGATGTGTAATGCGAGTTGGGGCTTACAGTACTGAAAGTTTTGAGTTGGGAGTTATGGGAGTTGGAGTTTGGGTAAGTACTTATGAGGGTAGGGGATAATTAGCATTGAATGATAGGACTCAAATTTAAACTCAGGCCTACCAACCTATCATTGTAAGCCTGGCGTGTCCATGGTGTAGTCACCAGTGGTGAATTTCTACTCACCAGGGCTGAATTTTCATTTGCCAATAGCTAGTGGAGAGTGGAACTGTTGAGCCCTGCATGAACCCTGCGTGAGAGACAAATGGAGCAACTAAGGGAATGAAACGTATTGAGGGATTCGAGGCGATGAGAGGCATGGAGGGTCTGTAGGGAAAATTAGCCACACAGAGGATCTGGGGGGGAGGAGGCACATGGAGGGACTGTGTGGAAAGAGATATACAGATGTGTGGTGGAAGGAGAAAAAGAGAAACACAGAGTGGCTGTGGGGCAGAGACACACAAAGGGGCTGAGTAGGGGGACAATGACACACACTGGGGCCTGAGAAGGGGACAGTTACACAATGAGGCTGGGAAGGGGGATATGATACATGGGCTGGGGACAATGACAGACAGAGGAGCTGGTGAATGGGACAATAAAACACAAACAGGCTGGGGGAGAAAGAGACACACAAGGGGGCTGTGGGTAAGTAAGAGACATACAAGGAGCTAAAGAGAAGAGACACACAGTGGCTTAGGGAAGTAAGAGACACACAAGGGAGGTGTAAGACACAAAGGGGAATATGGTGGATACTATACAATAAAGGGGTGGTAAGATACACAAAAAGTGGTAAGACATTCAACAGATGAGATAAGAAACTCAAAAGGGGTAAGAAATTTAAAAGAAGATACATTTTGCCCCCTCCAAAAAAAAAAGTATCTTGACCCAAGTAGTCAAAATTATTGTAGAATAACAATTGTTGTGAATGCTGAGGCTGAGCACATCTAGGTCAGGACAAGACGGGCTGAATCGCAAAATGTAACTCAGAATACACCACAAAACCTGACTTACCAGCAAGGAATTATGTCAGTTACATTTACTCTCACATCACTGACCGGTGCAAACCCATGGGATTGTGAACTGCCCTTAGTGGGCATTGGCTGAGGAACACCCTCAAGGCCTTACCTCCTCTCCTTACATGACAAGCCTGGCTACATCACGGTGGATGATTGGAGATCCTCCTAGCCATGCCTTGTAGTGCTTTGGACACAGAGTCCCTCGAGGTGGGACCACTATACAGTGACTTGTCATTTTTAGCTTTTTTATTCTCTATTATTTATTTTTTATTTAAAAATATGCAGCTTCTCTTGTTGTGACATGTCTACTGTATGCTCATCCTCACTGGTTATGTTTTAACTGTATGTCATTGCTGACTTTTGATTGTTCCACTGCACTTGGAGGGTGCATGGAGGGTCGAGGGAATAAGACACATGGGGGGCCGTGGTGACACAAAGTGACATAGAAGGGCTGAGGGAGAAATAGACAAGGTGCTGGGGGAAGATTCACACAAATGGGGCTATGGATAGATAAAGACACACAAATGGGGCTATGGAGAGAGAAACACACAAATGGGACTGGGGAAGGGTCAAAAGAGACAGACAGGGGCTTGGGGGGAGACACCTAGAGGGACTGTGGAAGGGGCAAAAGAGACAGACATGGGCTTGGGAGGGAGATGCCCAGAGGGGCTAGTAGGAAAAAATAGACACAATGAGGCTGAAAGGGCACAAAATAGGCTGATCGTGTCAACTAAAATCTACTGGAGATTTAGTAGACTAAAATCCACTGGAGATTTAGTCGACTAAAACTAGACCAAATCTAAAACAATTCAGATGACTAAAATATGACTAAAACTAAATTCACATGCACAGGGCCATCTTTAACGCGGGGCAAACAGGGCAGCTGCCCCGGGCCCTGTCCCTGCTGGGGGGCCCGAGGTAACTGCCCTGTTTGCCCTCTGCCCGCAAACTATGGGGGCCCATCGGGTGGCCCATGCACTTAGGGCCACCCAGTGGGCCTATGTCAGCAGGGGCCCGGTCGGGCGCTGTGGCGCTTTAACAGTGCGACCGGGCCCTTGCTTTCCGGCAGCACTGGGAGGAAGTGACAGCCGCGCGTCACTCCCAGCCACCCCAGCCAGCCCACTGGACCCCAGGGAAGCCACCCTCCAGGAAAAGGTAAGAAACTGGAGGGTGGTTATCAAATTTTGCATGAGTGTGTCAGTATGTGTGTATGTCTGTTAGTGTGCCAGTATGTCTGTGTGTGTGAGAGTCTGTCAGTGTATGTGTGTTTCAGTATGTCTGTATATGTGTGTATGTCTGTCAGTATGTCTGTGTGTGTGCATGTCTGTCAGTGTATGTGTGTATGTCTGTCAGTGTGTCAGTATGTCTGTGTGTGTGTGTGAGCCTGTCAATGTCTGTGTGGTTCAGTATGTATGTATGTGTGTATCTGTGTTTCAGTATGGCTGTCTGTGTGTGTCAAAATGTCTGTATGTGTGTTTGTCTGTCAGTGTCTGTGTGTTTCAGTATGTCTGTCTGTATGTGTGTATGTGTGCCAGTATGTCTGTCAGTGCGTGTCAAAATGTCTGTCAGTGTCTGTGTGGTTCAGTATGTATTTGTGTATGTGTGTTTCAGTATGGCTGTCTGTGCGTGTCAAAATGTCTGTACGTGTGTATGTCTGTCAGTGTCTGTGTGTATGTGTATTTCAGTATGTCTGTCTGTGTGTATGTGTGCCAGAATGTCTATATGTCTGTCAGTATGTCTGTTTGAGTCTGTCAGTGTCCATGTGGTTCTGTATGTCTGTGTTTGTCAATATGTCTGTCAATGTCTGTGTGTATGTGTGTTTCAGTATGTCCATCTGTCTGTGTGTATATGTGCCAGTATGTCTGTCAGTGTATCTGTATGTCAGTGTCTGTGTGGTTCAGTATGTCTTTGTGTATGTGTGTTTCAGTATGACTGTCTGTGTCAGTACATCTGTCAGAATGTGTCTCTGTATCTGTATGTTTTCCGTTTGTGTGTGTCTGTGTCAGTGTTTGTATCTGTATATCTGCATGTGTTTTAGGTTGTGTATCTGTGTGTCTGAATGTGTGTCAGTGTGTGTGTATCTATATGTAGTCAATGGGTGTACCTTTGTATCTGCATGTATGTAAGTGTTTATATCTGTGTGTATGTCTATGTGTGTGTCAGTGTATCTATATGTAGTCTGTGTGTATCTGTATGTTCTTGTGTGTATCTACATGCGGTCAGTGTGTATCTGCATGTGTGTCAGGTAGTGTATTTGTGTGTATCTATATATAGTCAGGGGGCCCAAGTAAATGCTTGACCAGGGTCCAATCAAAATTAAAGACGGCCCTGGCCATAGTTTTAGCACTGCCAAATTCTGTTGCAAGGCCCTGTATGAGAACTTTGGATATCTTGCTTAGTGAAACCTTCTAAAATCGTTTATCTATGTACAGTGCAACATTGAGCATACATATAAAAAAATAATATTTTTTTTCCCTTCTTTTTGGAAAAACTCTAAAAATGAATTATTGGTTTTTATAATTCTTTTATATTTGCCTGGTTTACAAGAGTGAAAGGGCATTCTCATACATTGTATAAAAGAGACATGAATAAGAAATGAAAAATTTGTTCAGACAGTCAATATGGTAAAACGTCCTGAAAAACATATTCTGTGGGCCGAGTGTTTTTTGGGTTATGTAGTGTTAAACTGAATCGCTAGTGGCCGTCCACTAAGGGGAAGTCAGCAGGTGAACGTAATAAAACTTTGGAGTTTTAGCT